TTATTTATTTGAGAGAGAGACAGAGAGAGTGAGAGAAAGTGAGAGAGAGAGAACATGAGCGGGGTGAGGGGCAGAGGAAGAAGCGGACTCCCTGAACAAGGAGCCCGATGTGGGGCTCGATCTCAGGACCCTGGGATCGTGACCTGAACCAAAGGCAGATGATTAACTGACTGAGCCACCCAGGCGCCCCTCTTGTTACAATTTTTGACTTAAAATCTATTTTGTCTGATAAAAGTAGAGTCACTCTTGCTCTCCTTTGGTTACCATATGCATGGAACATATTTTCCATCCTTTTACTCTGAGCCTATGTGTGCCCTTAAATCTAAAATGAAACTCTTATAGGCAGCATATAGTTGTATTATTTTTATTTATTCAGCTATTCTGTGTTTTTTCTTGGAAAATTTAATCCTTTTAAATTAAAAGTAGTTATTTATAAGTAAGGATTACTCTTGTCATTTTTTCATTGTTTTCTGACTGTTTTGCAGTTCCTTTTTTTTCTTTCTTCCTGTCCCATTGTCTTCCTCTGTGATTTGATGATTTTCTGTAGTGCTGTACTTTGATTGCTCTCTTTTTATCTGTTTTGTATCTACTATAGTTTTTTTTCCCTTTGTGATTACCATGAGGCTTGTATAAAACATCTTATGGTTATAACAGTCAATTTGAGCTAAGAAATTTATTTCAATCATGTATGAAAACGCTACACTTTTACTTCTCCTTCCCCACATTTTGTTATTAATGTCACAATCTACATATTTTTATATTGTGTATACATTAACAAATTATTGTAGCTATAGTTATTTTTAATGGTTTTGTCTTTTTTAACTTATACAACAGTTAAAAGTGATTATAAATCACCATACAGTATGCTATGGTCTGTGTCCCCCAAAATTCATACGTTAAAATTATGACCTGTCAGGTGATAGTGTTAGGAGATGGTGGGGCTTCAGAAAGTGAGTAAGTCTTAAGGGCAAAGCCCTCATCAATGAGATTAGTGCCCTTATAAAAGAGGCCAGAGAGAGCTCTCTCACCCTTCTGCCTTGTCACATCAGAAGATGGCTGTCTATGATGAAATGGGCCCTCACCAGAAAGGAATCGGGCTGGTGCCTTAATATTGGAGTTTCCAGCTTCCGGAACTGTGAGAAATAAATTTCTGTTGTTCATAAGCCACTCACTATGGTATTTTTGTCATAGCAGACTGAATGGACTAAGATACTATATTTAGAGTATTCTGAATTTGACAACATGTTTACCTTCACCAGGGAGTTTTTTACTTCTGTGTGTTTTTATGCTCCTAATAATGTCCTTTCTTTGGTGTTCTTGAAGAACTCCTTTTTGCTTTTCTTGTAAGGCAGGTCTAGTGGTGGTTAACTCCCTCAGCTTTTGTTTGTCTTGGAAGGTATGTATCTCTCCTTCATTTTTGAAGGACAGTTTTGCTGGGCATAGTATTTTGATTGGCAGGGTTTTTTTTTTCTTTCGGTGTTTTGAATATATCATCTCACTCTACCCTGGCCTACAATATTGCTAAAGAAATCCACTATAAGTCTTATGGGGGGTTCTTTGTATGAGACTCCTTCATGAGTCATTTTTCTCTTACTAATTTCAAAACTCTCCATGTCTTTGACTTTTGAGAATTTGAATATGATGTGTCTTGGTTTAGACCTTTGACGTTCAGCCTATTGGGGTTCTTTGGGGATCATGAACCTGGATACACATTTCCCTCCCCAGATTTGGGAAGTTTTCTGTCATTATTTCTTCAAATAATCTTTCTGCCTTTGTTCTCTGCTTCTTCTGGGACTTCAATAATATGTATATTGATTCACTTATTGTTATTCCATAAGTCACTCAAGCGTTTTTCACTTCTTGTCATTCTTTCTTTTCTTTTTGTTCTTCTAACTGGATAATTTCCAATGTTCTGTCTTCAAGTTTGCTTATCCTTTCTCCTGATCAATTATGCTATTGAAGGTCTCTATTGAACTTTCCAGTTTGGTTATTTTATTCTTTAGACCCAAGATTTCTGCTTGAGTCTTTTTTGTTTTCTATTTCTTTGTTAAACTTCACATTTTGTTTAGGTATTATTTTCCTGATTTCATTTAGTTGTGTCCACTTATAGCTCACTGAGCTTCTTTAAGACTATTATTTTGAATTATTTGTCAAGCAGTACATGGATCCCCTTTTCTTTAGAGTCAGTTGCTGGAGCTTTATTAATTTCCATTGATGTTGTCATATTTTCCTGACTCTTCATGATCTGTGTAACTTTGCATGGGTGTCTGTTTATTTAGAAGAACAGATAATTTTACAGACTGGTTTTGGCAGGTAAATACCATCTGCTGCTTCCCTGGACTTATGGGACTGCCTTTAGGACTATGGTTGAGCAGGGCTGGAGCTGGATCTCATGGCCATTGCTAGGTCTGCAGTTGGGTCCACAGTTGGCAAACCTGTTACCAGGGGCATGAATGGGTGTGATTTCTCCTGGGTCCCTGAGTATTCTCCCAGTGGGTTGTTAGGCTGATTCCTGGATGGCCAAGACTACCTCTAGACTGCAGTAAAGTGGGACTGGAGCTGGGTCACAGGACTGCTTCAGCAACAGTAGTCAGGTCTGAGATCAGTGGGCCTGCTATCGGGGCATGGATGTGGATGGTTCCTCTTGGGTCCCTTGGCAATGGGATCTAGAGGCAAGACCATGGATAAATTGGACTAGAGTTGAGTCCACAGGAAGATGAGGTAGCTCTAGGTCTGCAGATGGGCTCATAGTCAGTGAGTTTTCTACAGGGCATGTGCCTGCCTTCTCAAAGTGATCCTCCTTGGTCTTTGGTTCCGGTGGGATTTTGCAATCTCCTACCTGGGTCTTACACCTCCCCACTTTTATCTGTGGATGGCTGCCAAATATGTGTTTCTGTGGGAGACACAGGTTTTAGACCTCCTATTCCATCGTCTTGTTCCTGTCACTTCTGGTACTTGACATTGTAATTGCACCTGTTGATGCGTCTCAGTTTCTTTTAATTCATACATATAAATGGGTTTGTTTTTACCAAAGTTTAAATTATTAGAATAAAATATATTTATTCATTTATTTAACAAAAATTTTAGTAACATTTATGTACAGCATTGTACTTGGTGTTGAGAATGATGGGAAAGCATAGGAGGCAGCATTTCTGTGCTTAGGAAGCTCATGATATAAAAGGGCCTCCAGCCAGTCCAGTGTACAAGAAACATCCACCTAACCAAGATCCCCGTTAAATAATTGTCCAAAAGTACCAATTATAGTGCAAGTAAATAATAAACTATATGCCAAGTAGCTGGTAATAACTTCATGAAACAGAGGGAGAGTGGGAGCTGGAAGGGGCAGGGATGGAGTGGGGCACAATATAAGAAAAAAGGCTCCATGGAAGCTGAATGAAACATTCCAGAAATAGGAAACACATCCCAGTGTGGTACCAACACAAAAGGGCAGGATCGGCCAGGAGCACATGCTTTGGGACCAAACAGGATGTGTTCAAACAAACGGTTCAAAATTCCACTCTGCTGCCTACTAGCTACTTAGACCAGTTTATGGCCTGTAAATGGGGAAAATCATAGAACTTACTTCATAGAGGTATTAACAAGATTACATGAAATAATATATGTGAAAGTCTACCACATTAGAAACACTCAGAAAAGTTTTAGCTACATTTAAAACAACACAAATTCCATGGTGACCAAGATATTTGGGTAATGGCAAATAATCCATTGTTCTCTATAGAACACTTAGGTTTGGATTACTTCTCCATTATCCTCATGTGGAGAGGGACAATATCTCTCTTGCTTACTGATGGATTTCCTTTGTCTTATCCAATCCCTGGCATACAGCTGACATTTCAAAAATTTCTGTTGAGTAAACCAAATCTGTCCCTCATCTGAAATGCCTATGCAATTTATAAACTTGCCAATTTTTCCCCCTTTGTCTTTCTATTACCCGTTTCTCAAGGCTGTATCCTCCTATCTCTACTAATTACTTAATTGTTACTCAATAAATAAATATTCAATAAATATTTATGGAATATCTCTTATATGCCAGGCACTGTTATAGGTACGGGGAGGGGGGCATATGATGAATTTAAGAAGTTCCTGCTCTCACAGAACTTCTATTCCAGAGAAGGGAAAGTAAGCAAAGTAAACAAGCAAATAATTTTGGATAAACACTCCAAAGAAAATTAAATATTATCATCTCTTGTCCTGCCTTCTAATTAGTCTCTGCTTCACATTTGGTCTCATTGATGTTTACCCACTGTCATAACGCTCCATCTAAGTTTCAAATTCTAACTTTGTCACTCTCTACTTGAAGACTTTCCATGTCTCTTGGTTATAATAATAAAACTGTAGCTTTTATAATAAAACCATAGCTACCTACCACCCATGACATGAGCCCTACATGCCTCTCTCACCTGATTCCCCTTCATTCCCTACCTTTCAGAACTTCATCTTAACCCCTGAACATCAATGCTATTTCTTCACTTCTGTGCCCTTTATGCCTCTATTACCCTCTCCATCACCTCTTGTCATGTACAGACACCTTTGCCTGGCTGACTCCTATGTGTTCACTCAGTTTTCTCAAGCATCCCTCCCTCAGGTACCTGTCATAGCCCACCCTCCTCCACCACACACTCACACACACCTCACACACTGGCAGGGGTGGTCCTTCTGCCCACAAAGTGCCCTATGTGTACTTCCATTGCACTTACATTCTGTATTATAATTATATAATTTTGCTTCATATTTCTGCTTCCACCTTCTGTCAACTTCTTACCAGCAGGCACCATTTTTTGTTCATCTTAGAAGTCCAAGCACAATGACTAGTATATACAGAGACATTTGACAAACGTCAATTAAACTTTTTAAAAATGAATTTCTAATGAAAGAAATAATAAATGGATAGAAAAAAACAAGCATTACTTTTGAAAAGCCAAAGAATCCTTGCTCTGTATTCATCTCTGGCTCTTTTTTTTTTTTTTTTTTTTTTGCTCCTCCTGTCAGTGGACAATTTGGTGAGTTCTCCTTTCTTTTTCTCTTCAGTGTCTCTGGATAAGAGTGTCTCCCTAATAAATATGAGGCATTTGCAATGGCTATCAGAGGATCTCTAATATCTCCTGTTCTTGCTGAGGCCAGAAGGGATGTGAAAGTGTTACGTGGTCTATTGGCATCACCCAATGGCTAAGATAGCCAAGTGGCCACCCTCTGACTCTCCCTGGAAGAACAGACAAATGCACAAGCAGCTCCTGGCCTTTGGTAGGCCCTGCACTTACCTCTATCACCAATGGACCCCACTTGACCAGGCAGGATATCTTCAACTCCATGGCAAACACGCAGGACTTGGGACAGGGTTTTCTCCAATCAGCAAGCCAGAAATACTTATCTGGTAACATCACACGGTGAAGATATCAGCAGGAATATTACATCCTCTATAGTTTTAGAAGTAAAATCCTCCAGGAAATGTGTGGAGAATGGAAAAACATACAAAAATTGGGGCCTTTAAAGGAAGAAATGCAAAAAAGAAGAGATCGGGGGAAAAGATGTATTATCTGTATCACACATGTTCTTAGTTCTGACTCTTATTGCCATTCTCCTGGGTCAGAGAGTGGCCCATGAATAGCAAGGAAGATCTACATCCTCTCTCCTTGTCCAGAATCAGCTGACCTGGGATTTCTTCCTTGTCTGGGTCACCTCTGGATTCCAGCAAATGACTTGTCCATTCCTTGCTCTGCCACAATTAGCTATGATGAGAGGTTCTGGGCATCTGAATCATCTATGAAATGAAGGTGTTAAAAAAGTTAATCTCTCAAGCTTTACTCAGTGCCAAAATCTTCAGAAAATATGATTTATCCTTTTAGGAAAGTACAAACCTGTGATTTACACAATTCCTTTGGAGGTTCTTATGAGTTCGTGAACACGATGAACCAATATCCCATGTGGGGCAGGGATGGCTTTCTTTAGGATCCACACCAGACTAACTAGCTATTTCTCCCACTGGCATTTGACAGTGGATCCTGCTGGTGTTGCCTTCTTGAAATCATTTAGCTCATTGCCATCCCTGAGCAACCATTCTCCCCTGGGGGCTCCGGTCCACAATTGGCCTTAAGCAATCACTGACCTTCCCAGATGGCTTCCTTGGGAATTCTCCAAAGCCTGGTCCTTGGGTCTCTCCCACACAGACAGCTGTGGTGGGGACCACAGGGTTCTCTATCTCAGACTCTGTCTCTTCCTTCCTCAGCATCTGCACCCAAACCCGTGATTTCCCTCCATCCTCCATGGACCATCGTCTTCAAAGGAGAAGCAGTGACTCTGACTTGCCACGTACCTCACTTCCTTGCAGTAGAGAACAAAAAATGGTACCAGTGGTACCTTGGGAGAGAAATAATACGTGAAATCCCAGGAAACACCCTCCAGGTCCGTGATTCTGGAGAGTACAGATGCCAAACCCAAGGCTCGCCCCTAAGTGATGGTGTGAGCTTGACTTTTTCTTCAGGTGAGAAAAAAAGTGAAAGAAATAAAAACTTTAGGAACCATACAGTTACACAGAACCTGCCCTATAGTTAGTGAATCAAAATCTCTATAGATAGGACCAGGTAAAAAGAAATTTTTTTAAATTTTTTATTTAAATTCAATTTAGTTAACATATACTGTATTATTAGTTTCAGGTGTAGAATTTAGTGATTCATCAGTTGCATTTAACACCAGTGATCATTATATTAAGTGCCCTCTTTAATGCCCATCACCCAGTTACTCCTTCCCTGCCCAGCAACCCTCAATTTGTTTCCTAGAGAAAGAGACACTGATGTCTCTTATGGTTTGCCTCCCTCTCTATTTTCTATTTTATTTTTTCTTCCCTTCCCCTATGTTCATCTGTTTTGTTTCTTAATTTCCACATATAAGGGAAATCATATGGTATTTGTCTTCCTCTCACTGACTTATTTCACTTAGCATAATATCCTCTAGTTCCATCCACATCATTGCAAATGGCAAGATTTCATTATTTTTTGATGGCTGAGTAATATTCCATTGTGTATCTATATACCACATCTTCTTTAATCATTCATCTGTCCATGGACATCTGGGCTCTTCCCATATTTTTGCTATTGTGGACATTGCTGCTATAAACATTGGTGTGCTTGTGACTTAGGTAAAAAGGAATTTGAGAAGTAATTTATTTGAATGGTTTCTGAATCTATGCATAACTTTAACCTTATAAGATTAACTTGGAAGGGCACCTGGATGGCTCCGTCAGTGAAGCATCTGACTTCAGCTCAGGTTATGATCCCAGAGTCCTGGGATCGAACCCAATGTTGGACTCCCTGCTCAGCTGGGAGTTTATTTCTCCCTCTCCCTCTGCCGCTCCCCCCCTCCCCTACTCGTGCTCTCTCTCTCTCAGATAAATAATAAAATCTTTTTTAAAAAAAGATTTACTTGGGGTAATAAGCAGCATGAGAATTTTTCAGCTAGGTAGACAGGCAAACAGATAGAGGTACAGCTGACCCATGCAAACATGGGTGTGAATTGCACAGATCCACTTACATGCAGTTTTTTTTTTTTTACAGGACAGAGCTATAAATGTATTTTCTCTTCCTTATGAATTTCTTAATAACATTTCCCTCTAGTTTACTTTGTTATAAGATTATAGCCTATAATACAGAGAACATACAAAACACGTGTCAGTTGACTGTTCATGTTATCAGTAAGTCTTCTAGTACAGCTGGCTATTAGTAGTTAGGTTTTGGGAGAGTCAAAACTTATACTCTGATTTTCCACTGCGTGGAGGATCCGTGCCTCACCCCCAATTGTGCAAGAGTCAACTGTATACAAAAAGCAAGAGAGAAGGAAGAAACATTTCTCTTTTTTTCTGTGCCCTAAAGCCACCTGTTTTGAATTTGAAGCAGTTATAATGCTGTTTGCTTTCACGAACAAGGAAACAGTATAGTAACAGGGAGAAAATAAGATGCTTATCCGCTTTGAACTGGCAATTCCTCTCCTAAGAATTTGCCTACTGAAATCATAGATATGCAGCCCCCAAAATGAAGGAAATTGAATGGTCAAGAAAAGGAAACTCACTAAGTAAATTATATCATGTCACATTGAAGGAAAACTTGGAGGCCATTAGAAGTCAGGTTCACTAATGATATTGATGGCAAAGAAAAGTGTTCATAACACAGTAAGTGAAAGAGCAAGTTATCAAATATATATATACTACTCCGATTTCATAAAGAGAACACAGTACACACAGACTCTCATGAACTTGCACATGGAAAAGAGCACCAGAAAAGTGCACACCTGAGAAGAGATTTTTATTTACCCTTCTGTTTTCCAAGTTTTCTCAGGGCATATGTGTTCATCTTAAAATCAGAAAAAAAGGAATTGTAATTATTTTTTTAATTTTTTTCTTTAAATTTTTATTGTTATGTTAATCACCATACATTACATCATTAGTTTTTTTTATTTTTTATTGTTATGTTAATAACCATACATTACATCATTAGTTTTTGATGTAGTGTTCCATGATTCATTGTTTGTGCATAACACCCAGTGCTCCACGCAGAACGTGCCCTCTTTAATACCCATCACCAGGCTAACCCATCCCCCACCCCCCTCCCCTCTAGAACCCTCAGTTTGTTTTTCAGAGTCCATCGTCTCTCATGGTTCGTCTCCCCCTCCGACTTATTCCCCTTCATTCTTCCCCAAGGAATTGTAATTATTTTATGCATTTTTTCCCCCATCCCTTATCCTATAAAATCTTTTCAATATACTAATGACAAGAAGGGAGAATCAGTGGAGGGGACCAAATGACCGCCTTGCATTTCTTGCAGCTAAACTGATCCTGCAGGCTCCCCCTTCCGTGTTTGAAGGTGACTCTGTGACTCTGAAGTGCCGAGCAAAGGTAGAAAAAGTAGACACAGCCCGGAAGACCAGGACCCTGTATAAGGATGACAGTGTGCTGATGGACCTTGGTGAAAACTCCAACTTCCACATTGAACACGCAAGGCTGAAAGATAATGGAGAATATCACTGTACTGAATCTGTGACCTATTGTTGCTCTGTTTCTTCAAACACAATCAAAATCCAAGTCCAAGGTAAACCCTTCATTATTTGTGAGAAGGGTTCATGGGAAGGAAGTTCCCTGAGGTGGCTGAGAGAGAGAATGGTGGGCTGGGATATCACCGAACCCCAGGGCTCATTCCTGCAAGAATCAGAGAAAGTGCAAGAGTGCTTTGAGCTGAAGAGTGTTGGGCTCGTAAGTGCACCCCTCTTTGCCTGCTCTGCTCACGGCAACTGCAGAAGAGCTGTGCTTCTCTCCAGAGTAGCTCCAGGCCTCACTGCTCTGGGGCCTGTTGTGATTCTTCTCTCTAGATTTGTTTCCACGTCCCGTGCTGAGGGCTAACCCCTCCTTGGCCACCCCCGGGAACCCAGTGATCCTGACGTGTGAGACCCAGCTCTCCCCTCAGAAGTCAGACGTCCAACTCTGGTTCCGCTTCTTCAGAGATGGCCAGAGCTTGGGGTCAGGCTCGAAGAGCTTTCTGAAAATCTCAATCCCCTCCGTCATGGGGAGCGAAGACCCACCGTATTACTGGTGCGAGGCATGGGCAAGCATTCCCGGTGTCTACAAACAGAGCCAGAAATTCCAGATACCCGTGCAGAGTAAGTGTGGGCAGGTGTTGAGATGTGCTGGGAAGAGCTGGGCAGAGCCGCACAGCAGCCCTCGATTGTCCCGTCAATCAGTGAATAAAGGCCCTGCCACTCCTGGTCCCAGTCCTCTTCCTGCTACCCAACCCACCGCCCCCCTCACCTGCTTCCTGCTTCTTCCCCAAGTCGCCTGCACTCGTCTGCTCAGCTGCCTGATCTAAACACCACAGGCTGCATGGCTTACACAACAGAACTGTATTCTCTCAGGGTTCTGGGGGCTACAAGTCCAAGACCAAGGTGCCAGCAGATTGGTGTCTATGGAGAGGCCGTCTGTCCTGCAGGTGGCCACCTTCCCACTGTGTCCTTATCCAGCCTCGTTCCTCTGTCTCCTCCTCCTCTCCGAGGATTCCAGTCTTATCTGATTAGGGCCCCTTTAGCCTTCATGATCCCCTCAAAGACCCCATCTCCAAATAAGCCACACTGGGGGTTTGGGCTTCGACATATGCAATTCCAGGGAATAGAGTTCAGCTGATAACACATCTTGATGTCTCTGCTAGCTCCCAGATCTTTGAACGTGTGTCTGTCTCTTGTGGGCCTCATGCTTTATCCAGCCTGGGACCATCACACCACTCGGTGTGTCTGTAGCATCTCTCCCTCTCCCTCTCTCTCCTTCCCTCCCTCCACCAGTGCACTCAAGGCCATAAGGACAGTCGTGGCCGTGAGAGGTCACAGCTTCTACAGAGGCGTCCCTGCACTCAGGGCCAATGCCAGCCCACTCCCAAGAAGACATGGGATTCAGCACTAGGACCAGGACTCAGGAAGGAGACAGATCAAGGTCCTGGCTGGCTCTGGACACAGCCTGCTGAGTGGCTGCCAACTAGTCTCTGAGCTTCTTCCTGCGTTCTCTATCTGGAAACAGAGGGGGTCAGTCTGGGTACAGGGAGAGTGTAGGAACAGACAAGAGGGTCCTGGAAGAGTGTGTGAATCTGGAAGGAAGAAGGGTGAAGGGATCCCTGAGTCCAGCCCCAGTGAGCGGAGAAGTGGAAAACAGGGACAGAGGAAGCCTTCTTGACTTGGGGGGAGGGGCAGCTCTTCCAGGGTCACAGGCAGGAGGAAGGAACAGGTTAAGGGTGGGGCCTGGCAGCCGCAAAAGAAGGAACTTCTTCCCCAAGAGCGTCATTTACACTGGGAAGCCGGACTGAGGTCACCTAACAAGGGGCGCAGGTGGGGAGAAGGGGCCACGGGTGGCGGGAAAGGGAAAGGCCAGCCCGGAGGGCAGGGGCTGACTGGCCAGTGATGGAAATGCGCAGGAGCCCCTGCTGACTGATGTTTCTCTCCCTCAGTCCCCGTGTCTCGCCCTGTCCTCACCCTCAGCACTCCTGGGGCCCGAGCTGTTGAGGGAGATTTGCTGACGCTTTCCTGCGGAGCCAAGAGAGGCTCTTACCCCATCGTGTACCAGTTCCTTCGTGAAGAAGTAGTTCTCAGGAAGATGAAGGCCACTTTTGGGGGCACGGTGACCTTCCACATCTCTCTGACTGCAGAGCACTCTGGGAACTACTCCTGCACCGCAGGGAACAGCTTGGGTGTCCAGCGCAGCCAGCCGGTGTCCCTGTCTGTCACCGGTGAGCCTGGGGCGGTCAGCCCCCCATCCCTGTCGGGAAGCGCGCCCCCGTCTTCCAGGGCCTCTGCCTCTTCCTCCCCGCCTGATGTCCTGGCTCACGGGTCGGCTGTCCGCCTCTTTGCGGATCGCTGCTGGTTCCCTCCCACCCCGACCCCCGAGGAGCCAGCTGTTCTCCTCTTTCTCACCGCTTGTCCTGTGAATACTCAGAAGCACGGTGTTCTCGGAAACTACAAAATAAGTCCCCAGGGGCCCACAGGTGTTTCTTGTCCCTTTAATATTGCATATTGATCACAGCGGGTACAGAGCCACGAAAGACACACGGCCGGCAGCAGGACCCGAGGTCCTCCACAGACGCCCAGGCACGTCTGGACTGAAAGGCTGTGGGGCCAGGTGGGCGCCGGCGGGCAGGGGGGAGGCAGCGCAGGGGGCCCGGGGAGCAGAGATGGCTCTGCCTGCCGACTGGGCTTCAGACCCTGAGGCCACAAAGGTGGGTGTCCAAGTTATGAAGGGCAAGTGTCTTCCATGCAGCCTTGAGTCCCAGTGTTGTGCGGTCTACGGAGAACAAATTCCGGGCACAGTTTTGGGGGGCGGGGACTGGAGGGTGCGGGCTGGTACTGGTGCGGAGTCTAGTCCTGGCTCAGGCCCGGAGCCGACTTGGGTTCCTCGTCTATAGAAAAAACACAACTAGGCAGGAGACAAGCCAGGATCCAGTCTTACAAGGAAATGGACCCGGGAGTCCTGTGGGAGGCATCAGATGAAAGACACAGAGAAACAGGCTCTGACACCCAGAGGCCCGAGGACATCGGGCAGTGGCATCACCATGAGCGCCCTCCACTGCGGAAGGTTCTGCGTGACGGCGCCTCTGTTCACCTAAGGAAGAAGGGCAGTGCGCGCCCTGCGTGCGGACTGCACTCTGTCTCCGGATGCCTCGGACTAGCCTGCATGGCCTGTGCACACAGTTCAGAGGTCGAGCGGCAGGTGTGGACCGCAATAGGGCAAGCACCAGTCCAGGGGCTATGAGTACCTGGAGGCTGTGGGTGTAAAGAGGCACCCCAATCTCTGCTGTGCCGTAAGAGGATTCTAGGGGAGTCTGTGCGTGAGCTGACGGCTGGATGGCGTGTCACGGGAAGCGGGGGAGGGCAGGGAGAGGCTGTGGTCCAGGCAGGGGCAAATGTCGAAGGCCTGCGGGAAGGAGGGGAATGGTCCAGGACCAGGACCTGGGGACACCCCAGACCCACGCCAAGGACTTGGGCCTCATCCTAAAGGGAGCTCTGGGGTCTAAGAACAGTTTTACACTGGGAGGATCACTCTGGCTGCAGGGGAGGATGGATGGCAGAAAAGCCCGTCTGGAGAGCAGCCAGGAGCAGAGCAGAGGCCCCAGAAGAGAGGCCAGTCAGGACCCCAGGCCAGGCGCGCGGAGCGGGAAGGCCCCCGCCCGGGACTGTGGCTGGCAGAGGAGGCGCCATGTGCTCGTTTCCCACAGAAACCAAGGGAAGAGACTGAGCAGAAGACAGGGACCAGTTCAGACAAAACAGAGCCGAGAGCTGGTGAGAGACGAGAACTGAGTCACCTCCCCTGAGTTCAGCCACAAAGCGCTGAAAGCAGAAGCAGAATGCAAACGAGAACTGAGTCTCTGGACGTGCCTGCTGCCTCGCCACCTACATCGTGAGGCCTCGGCTTCCTCCTCTCTAAGACAGGGTCAATAATAGTACCTGCCCCACAGGGTTGTTTGGTAATTCAGTTAAGTGTCCGCATGCCTATGTTTACCATTTTATATGACAAACACACATACACCTGGCACAGGCATGGAAGCGTTATATTATATTATAATCACAAACACGGACAATCAACTTTATAGATTGGTGGGGATAAAAAGCAGGTCTCAATGCACACACACAAAAAATAAGTGAGAGGCAAAGAAGTGGAGACAGTAAATGTAGCCCCTTCTGTCAGAAATCTGTCCTCAGAACCCGGGAGAAAGGCATGATGGGGAAGAGTAAACACAGCTCTGGTAGTTTTGTTTTGTTGATTTTCTCACCTGGAGAGGATGAAACACATCTAAATGGAAATGGGAAGAAGCCAGTACAGCCAGCGCTGGACAGAGGCAGGTGGGCTCCTGGGGGGAAGGAGGAGGACCCTCCTTGGGGGGGGGGGAAGGGCAGCTCTTCCAGGGTCACAGGCAGGAGGAAGGAACAGGTAAGGGTGGGGTCTGGCAGCCGCAAAAGAAGGAACTTCTTCCCCGAGAGCGTCATTTACACTGGGAAACCGGACTGAGGTCACCTAACAAGGCGCGCGGGTGGGGAGAAGGGGCCACGGGTGGCGGGAAAGGGAAAGGCCAGCCCGGAGGGCAGGGGCTGACTGGCCAGTGATGGAAATGCGCAGGAGCCCCTGCTGACTGATGTTTCTCTCCCTCAGTCCCCGTGTCTCGCCCTGTCCTCACCCTCAGCACTCCTGGGGCCCGAGCTGTTGAGGGACACAGGGTGACACTTCACTGTCAAGCCCGGAGAGGCTCACCCCACATCCTGTACCAGTTTTATCACGGAGATGTCCCCCTGGGGAGCAGCTCGGCCACCTCTGCAGGAGGGGCGTCCTTCAGTGTCACTCTGACCGCAGAGCACTCTGGGACCTACTCCTGCACCGCGGACAATGGTTTCGGCCCCCAGCGCAGTGACACCAAGAACCTGTTTGTCACAGGTAAGCCCTGGATTCCTGCCGGTCACTCATCTCTGACTCTTTTGTCCCTATTTTACAGAAGAGGAAACTGAGGCCCCACACGGTAAGTGACGAGGCAGCAGGCACACCCAGGGATTCTGTTCTCATTCGCTTTCTTCTGCTTCTGCATTCAGCGCTTTGTAGCTGATCTCAGGGAAGGTGACTCAGTTCTCGTCTCTCACACTGAGCCTTTCAGAAGTCTGCATGTACCTTCCAGTCCCTGCCTCCCCCTCCCCGCCAACACACAGCTGGTGCCCCTGGCGGCCCCTTCCCATAGAACCAGCTCCCTGTGGCCTCAGCCCTCACCCAGCCCTGGCTCAGCCAGACCCCTAGATAGCTCAGCGTACTCCCCAGCTTTTGCCAGATGAATTCAGTCCCTCAGAATATTTTCTCATGCCCTGTAGGTTCAGTCCCCAAGGCAAGTTTTTTTAACCCAGTGCAGAGAAGCATCCCCTGCTTTCCCCACTAACACGTGCGCTCATGTAGCCGCAAGCACAGTCACACGGACAAATCACAGGCGAGCCCTCAATTTCTCCGGAGTTCCCTCCTTGAAGAGGTTCAAGCCCTCACAGTAGGGTCGACGAGGAAAGGAGGAATGGCTTTCTGGAGTTTCCATGATGCTTTGTCCTAATTCATTAAAATAAGTTTCATTTTACTGTATTACGTTTTTAAAGCTTTTGTTGAACTGTGACACACATTCAGAAAAGTATACAAATCAGGGGTGTACCAGCTCATGGTGACTCATGTAACCACCAAAACGGTGTCGTCTTTGGAGTGAAGTTGCTTCTATTTACACTGGTATCTTTGCTTATTAGAGAGCGGAAGTCCAGTTGTTCATCGGTTTGTCTGCTTTTATGAGAAGCAGGAGTATGACCAGAAGATCTTGAGTGGTCCATTCCACATCACAAGGAAACGGAGACCCGGGGTGTCCCCAGAGGGGGAGGGCCTGTATGGACATCCAGGGAGTGAGAAAAACAAGAAAGAAAGACGACACTTGCAGACCCATGGAAGAGCTGAGAGATGTCTCAGAATAGAACTTACTTCTCAAAAGCAGGTTATATCAATAGGCGACGAGCTAGAAGCTCCCATCGCTCAACTCGCAGGCCACCAGCTATTTTCCTCGTATCCCTGCACACCATCCCTGCAGCTCCTGAGCATCCTCCACTCCATTCCCTCTCTCCCATGACTTCTCTTGACTCACAGCTTCTGCAACACCCAACATCGACTGCTCAGCTTCTGGGTGTGACGCCTTTCTCTGTATTCCACCTTCTGCCGTGTCTGCCAATGCTGGGTGGCTCGCTGCCAAAGCAGTGGCTCCACCTGGTCCAGCGGGGGGTGGGGGGGCAGCTTCGCCTCCAAGCTACGCCCTAGGCCACAGCCAGTGCACTGCCCACCTCTAGCCCAACAAAGTATGGAAACGACAGGACACGTAATGAAGTCTGTTTCAGAAAATACTCGTTTTAGGGAACTATATGCACAGCAGACTCTGCAGTTTCCTAGAAAGAGCCCGTGTACCTGAAAAACACTTGGGTCATCGGATCTAAGTATGAATCAGAAAACCTGAATTCTAGCTCTGGCTATGAACATAACTGGTTCGTGATTTGGGCAAAACGTTTAAACTTTCTTTGTCGCGCTGTTTTCACCTAAATTAGAAGTTAGATAAGACAATAATTAGTGTTCCTCGCACCCTCAGAGTTCTGTGAGTTGGAACAGGAACCCTAAGGCCAGGAATTCGTGAAGCTCTGGAAGAAATGAAGTGAGGGAGAGTGTGAGAGGCACCAGTCAAAGCCCCAGAGAAGAGAGCCAGGGAAAACCGTGCATGCTGCCAAGCTGGGCTCCTTTACCTATCCCAGCAAGAGAGAGCACCACCATGACGGAGCCTCATCATCGCTCAGGGCAGAGCTGGGGGAGGCACCTTGAGGGTTGTGGGAGCGGGTGGTAGTCAGAGTGTGAGTGCAGCTGGAGGTGGGGCCTGCTGAGTGCACAAACTGGCGATGTGCTGGTCTTAGGGACACATGAGTCTGGGTACAGATGGTCTTACCTTTGAGCATATGGATCTAAAGGATCTCTAGCTCCTTGATAACCCTTGTTTTAGATCACAGAAATCAAGAATGACCAGCAGAAGACATTCCCCCAATATAAAATGTGGGGTAAAGAGATGATTTAAGAAATTTAAGTGTTCTGAGACCCAGATTCCAAAGCCAGAACTTAATCTATCTAGGAACGCCCCCAGCCATAAGGCATCCTCCATCCGATTATCAAGTTTTATTTTCTTCTCAAACTTAGCAGTACCTGAAACCTCTTTATCTCCTGTTTCTTGTCTGCTTCCCTCTGTACCATGATATAAGCTTCATGAGAATGGAACCTGATCACTCGGGGTTTCCACGACACCCCTGTACCTATTCGGTGTCTGGCACAGTATAGGTCCTCAGTCAGCATTTACGATTCAATGAACAAGAAGTCTTTGAGGTAAAATGAGGAAGAGAAGAGCAGGAAGAGAAAACTGATCTTTGCATCTGCTTATATAAGTGAGCAGAAATTAATAAGCCCTAGGTTAGCGAACAAGTTATCTGTGAGCTGAGTGAGAAGCTTCACTGTGAGTCAGGCAGATATTCTGACAAAGCAATCTACTCTTTTGAGGGAACGTACCCCAAAGAAAAGGCAAAGAGATATCGTGGGGATGTGCTCTGATCTATATCACCAGCTCTGAGTCCCCGAAACACACACACATACACACACGGACACATACAGAGGCGCGCACACACACACACACACACACACACACACACACACACAGCATTCTCAAGCAAATACAAGACTCTGAATACAACTTCATTCACTGGAGAATAAGTTATGAGCAAAAACGAAGCACAATATGGGAGTCTTTGCATTGATGCTTTTAAACTTAAAATATAACACATAATATCTTCAAAAAGAAAAATTACTATAGGAAACAAAAAATCCTACAAATTCTTCTAAATATTCTCAAAACAATTAAAGAAAATACAGACTTCAGGAAAAAAAACTACAAAAAGGAATAAACAGGTTAAAGAAGAGTTGATAAGATAACACAAGAGATTTTAAAAATTGTCTAGCAGAGCTCAAAAGAAACACCAAAAAAAAAAAAACCTACAAAGCTATTTTGGAAATGAAATCCAAATTTGAAGCAGTAAGGCTAGAATGCATACTTCTAGAAACCATTAATAAAATGAAGAACTGGTTTGAGAAAATAATACAGAATGCGAAGTAGAAAGAGAGACAGATACAAAGGCAACAAGACAAAAATGTACAGTACAGAGGTCTGACAGCGAAGACCACTGAGTGGAATGTCTCTAAGTTAGGAAACCAAACTGAGGAGAGAAACGAAACTCAAAGATGTAATAAAAATTGTTCCTGAAGTGAAGAAAACTTGAATACATAGATGGAAAGACTTACCCTGAGGAGGTTACTGAATGTCGAGGTTAAACATCTGTCTGTGTGTGTGTGTGTGTGTGTGTGTGCGCGCGCGCACGTGTGATCATGGCAATAAGTAAATGAGTAAATAAATGCAGTCATCTCAGAAAGAAGACTGGTCTTAGACTTTCCACAGAAATCATTGCTAAGAGAGAGGAGTCATGTCCAGACTTGTACTTTCAAGGGAGGAAAGAGAACCGAGAATTTTATACCAAATCCGAAAGTCATGCTCAGACATGCAGGGACTCAGGGAACTTAGTATCCATTAAACTTTCTTTAAAAATTACTTGATGACAAAATGCAGCCAGCCAAAATAGGAATTGATACAAAGGACTCAAAATGACTTCACTGAGATATAAAACGTATACACTGAATCTCTCTCAGCGGTGGCTGCCGTGAGAATCACTTAGGAACTCTGAAACAGGCTCATTACTAAGCCTCTCTCCAGACCAATTAAACTTAGAATCTCTCAGATGTGGCCTCAGAATCAATATTTTTTAACACATCCTTAGGTGAGACTATCGTACAAATAGGGCTGAAAACCACTGATTCAGAAATGAAAACAAAGGCTACTCAACTGTGAGAATCATGGTTACAGAAAGTGCCCAAAATGTAAAAAATAAATGTAACAAAGAAAACTCAGTTGGTCTAAGGGAGAAGAAGAAATAAAAGAACAACAATTCTCTCATGATTATTATTCTTATTTCATGGTGGAGAACAAAATAGAATTGACTGGATACATTTTGAAAAATTAACCACAGCTTTCAAATTTTCCATTTTGTCAATAATGTCTGAATCCTTTACAGGCAGTAACTTCTCATTAATGGATTGTAGTTCACCAGCAGCACCTGAAACACCCACGAGTAGACCGCAGGGTCACATAGGATGCAATGGGTGAGTTGTTCAGAGAAAACAACTGTAGAATTTAGGATTAGGAACAGAGAAGAAATAATAACCTTCTGCACCTTCTATGACTCTCACTGATGAGAGTGTGGGAACTGGAATTCTTATATTTCCTTAGTGCAAGTGCAAACAGGTCCAAAGTTTTTGAAGAACAGTCTAGCATAATATATGTTTATTTGAAATGTTCATATTTCTCATCCCAGAAATTCCACTTCTAAGAATTTATCCTAAGAAGTGCATACACAAACGTGCCATGATGGATGTGCAGGACTGTTGGCCGTGACATTATCCGCAGGAGGAGAGCAAGGACATTCCCAGTCGTGGGGAATTCCTTCAGTGCACTATGGTGAATCCATACACTGGAAGGCTTTGTGCTTGTTAAAATAATTGAGCAGTATTCACCCCAAATCATCAAACTGTAAATTTAAAAGAGCTGCATTTTGTTATGTACAAATTATACCTCAATAAAGTTGGTCTCTAAAGGTGGATGAGATAGACCTTTAAGAATGATGTAGAAAGAGGCTCATGATGTGCTGCTGAAGGGAAAACCAGGGTGTAGACCAGGATGTGTATTGTGATCCCGTGCATGTGTGTGCATGTATGTTTTTACATGTTTATTTACGTTTTGGTGTGAATGGGTGTTCATATACATAGAAAAGATCTAGAAAGTGTCACAAATACTCTACAGAAGTAATCTCTGAAAAATGAAAATAAAGGAAATGTGAAAAGATACTGATGTCAACTAATCTATTTTTGCCCTCAGTCCCAGCGTCCTGCCCCGTCCTCACCCTCAGGACTCCCGGGACCCGGGCCGTGGTGGGGGACATGGTGGAGCTTCGCTGTGAGGCCCAGAGCGGCTCTCCCCCGATCCTGTACCGGTTTTATCACAAGAAAGTCACCCTGTGGAGCAGCTCGTCCCCCTCTGGAGGAGGAGTGTCCTTCAACCTCTCTCTGACCGCAGAACATTCTGGAAACTATGCCTGTGAGGCTGATAATGGCCTGGGGGCCCAGCGCAGCGAATCGTTGACACTCAGCGTCACAGGTGGGTTGGTCCTACCCTCAAGCAGCACAACCAAGCCTGGCATGCCTTCTCTACCCGGCGGCCAGACTGGAGCTCCAACACCCCCACTGCTGGTGTGACAGCACAGCCGGGGACTTTCTGCCGGCAGAAACCCATCTGCAAGTCCAGGTCCCTTCCTGCAGTTATGGCTGTAGGAACCTGGACCGTCCAAGCAGCACAGTCTTCCTATATGGGATCAAAACTCCTCACTAAAAATGCAAAAGCTTTTTAGACCATAGACGATATACTGATCTATAAGTATGATTACTGAAAGGGAAATTAAATTTTGAGTATGTGTCTCTCTGCTCCAAAAAAAGATTTAGCCATTCCTTGTCTGGATTTTTCTCCCTTTGACCCCCACAAGCCTCTACTCTTGTGCTTCTTTTATTACCAGGAATATAAATGTGCCTCAAACTTCTTTATTAAAAAGTCTGTCTTAACATTAACTCCGTGCATAGCCTTTCAGGAGACACAACCAATCCTGTTTACAAAGTGATTCTTAAAGCAATGGTGGCACAGGAAACACAGAGAGGTGAAAGCAGGATGGCATGAATGGAATCGGCCAGCCCTCCACCAAATTCCTCCACTCTCTATGCTGCACTCTGACCTCTTGCCATTAAGTATTATATCCAAAGGAAAGCTGCTTCTTGTGAGCTCTGAACCGGTTGTGATGGCCCTCCTGGCTGGCCAAACCTCCAGACTCCTGTTTAGGTAGAACTGGGGTATAGCAAAAGTATGCTAAGGACAGTTGAGAAGAATGTTCTGGTCATCACCATTATCACCACCACCATCACCATCACCACCATCACCATCACCATCACCATCACCATCATCACCACCATCATCACCACCACCATCACCACCATCATCACCACCACCATCACCGTCATCACCACCACCATAACCACCACCATCACCACCACCATCACCACCACCATCACCACCACCATCACCGTCATCACC